AAAATTCAAATGCAATATAAAAGTGGATTCACTCTACAGAAAGCTTTATTAAGGTTGCCTTCCAGTTTAACAAAATGACAAATTTAAAAAGAACAAATATATTTAGTAACAACAAAGACATGTATATATATTTTGTAAAAAGGCTTAGTATTAAAGATGGATAATTGAAAGTTTGAAACCTTCTGGTTGATCAAGGTTAAACATAATTGATAAAACGAACTACTTACTTTACCTTAACAGTATGCTTGAGTAAACTAGAAATTATCGTGTTGTCATGCCACTGTGGCGATAAAATATTATTCCCGCATGGCAACTTTGAACGAACCAAACTGACGATATTTTAAGGCAATCTGGATAATTTTCGTTTTAACAGCATTAACATAACATCTTTTATCCACTGTGGAGCGACCAACTTGGTAAAACTTCGCAAAGTATCTCACATTTGGCAAAATTCACCTTAGTTCACGTTGTTCGCCATACTGTTCACATTTCTATAGTAATTTGTGTCACAGAAGTTATATCCAGTCTACTATTAATAGATCAGTCCGCGTTTTACCTCTATGGTTTTACTAATCTGAGTCCAGTCCGCGTTTTACTAATCTGAGTCCAGTCCGCGTTTTACTAACCTGAGTCCAGTCCGCGTTTTACTAATCTGAGTCCAGTCCGCGTTTTACTAATCTGAGTCCAGTCCGCGTTTTACCAGTCCAGTCCAGTCCAGTCCGCGTTTTACCATATGCCTATTATTGTTGCATGCGTAAGTCCTGAGATGTGGTAAATTTATAGGTCTGGTGAGAATTATTTGATCGACATTTGGCGCATAAAAGCGCTTGAATATATTTGGGGTTTGGAAATAATTGTAGGTAGAATTCATACAAAAGAAGTGGCAATCCTAGTTGAATTGATACTGCACTACTAGTACTTGAAAAATCCTTAAATTGTTATTACAACCGACTTAAAGGGGCAATGTCACCGATTTTTGAGGAATTCTGACTCTCTCAAAACTTGTACAAAACTGAGAAAGAATGGCTGTAATTACAAAATAAAGCAATAACAAACACAAAAAGCGTATTACTCTTATGTCATACATAAATCCATTTACGATGTTTATTTTCAGAATTACAGTTCACACTGTAAATAAAATGCATTTTTAGTCAAATATGGGTGACATTGCCTCTTTAATTTCGCAAATAATTGTCAGTATAATAGAAATTATTAAATTATAATTTATTATTATTATTTATTATTATTATTATTATTTTCCCATCCGCGTTTTATCCCCCATCCGCATTTTCCCATCCGCGTTTTATCCCCCATCCGCATTTTCCCATCCGCGTTTTATCCCCCATCCGCATTTTCCCATCCGCGTTTTATCCCCCATCCGCATTTTCCCATCCGCGTTTTATCCCCCATCCGCATTTTCCCATCCGCGTTTTATCCCCCATCCGCATTTTCTCATCCGTATTTTCTCATCCGCATCCGTATCCGCCATCCGCATCCGTATCCGCATCCGCCCTTTATCCCTACCCGAAGTGAAGAGCAGATACACTTAGATAATGTCATGGTCGCTTTCTGTTTTACAAAACTATAGTCGTGGAGAACAATACAAACGAATGACCAAATACCGCACATACAATGATAGTTAATATTTAATAACATTTCTGTTAACACATGTAAACAACATATTAAGCAGAGACAGCCAGTACTCACGCACAGTTCTCAGTAATATAATTTGAAATTTCGCACTCGGTTTTTATGATATATTTCGGATAACCCTCTACTCTGATTTCAGTCATAGCTGCACTTCCGTTAAAATGTTTTCTTGTGTATAGAAAGTGCATTGTATACGTATTCGCAACAGTTCTCATCATCACTGAGTTAAGAAAATACAAAAAATTGCAGTTTTATTTACTCAAGAAGTGAGAACTGTGGAAAGTCGCAAGTGAGCCACTTTATTATACAATATTCAGCTTAGCTTCGAAAGTAAATTGTATACAAAAGAAATGTCACCGAAATTTGGTGTCACAAATGAATAATACTATATTTATCATTGGAAATGATGCTGAGAAGTGTTGCTCCTGTCGACGAGAACTGTACATGTTTACATTTCATTTTGAATTTCCTGTCTCAATTGAGTTAATAGATTACGTAATATTAAGCAATAAAATTAAGCATATAAGCTCTCAATATTTTATTCGGAATACCTTGGATTTAATTACAGCATGAATGCTCCCAGACATACTATTTATTGTGCGATCTATAACGTCGACGGAAGTAGCGATCTATAATGTCGACGGAGGTATTATCTAACGCTTAAATTTTTTTCTTTCCAAATTAGCTCAATGATTCACCGTGATATTCTCGCAAATAGCTTGGCGCTCTAAGTCATTCTTCACAATATGGAACATATTCTCTATTCACGGGGTTTAGATCTGGTGAACGTGGAGGTATCACATGCATTTCTGATTCGAAATCTTTAAAAGCTTTCACGTCAACCCAGGCACTATGTGTTGTTCTATAGCTTGCGCGGCCTTTGCGTGCGCCTTGTGGATTAATTTGATCGATTCTGGGTACGAGGCAGACCAGGGAGCTCTTTAGAACCTTTGCTGGCAATTTCCAATCCTTTGCTTCTCTTTCGCCAAACCCTGTGCAGGTTTTCACTTCGCTTTTGACTTGCAACCGGACTTGCATATTCTACCGCAGCCGATTTTGAAATATAACATTTTCGCGCTATCTCTCTGTATGATGTTCCAGATTCCAGCTTTAAAATAGATTGCGAGCGCCTTTTGTTCAGCTGATATTTCACCGTTGTAAACCATTAGAAATTTACAATAAATTTTGTTCTTTATGATTAAAAGCTTTGTAAGCTTTGTTCAAAGACAAGCATCTAAAATTTTCCCTCTCGTTTACAACAAATCACTTAATTACCATACCAATCATTCATTGCGATGTTAGTGCGCCTGCAATGGCGCGCGTCAGCGGGTTTTAGATACGAATAACGACCAACAATTTGTGACATCAACAAGCCTCGTGAAAAGCCCAATTACGTATATATGTGATATATTTTTAAAAATATTTTCAATTTACAAGTTTTCCTATACACAGACATATGTAGACCCACCAGCTATACCTCATAAACTTAGTGCATGTGAAGGTGGTGTCAAAATTGACTTTCTCCATTCCTAATTGTTTGCATAATAAACTTGCAATCTAACTAATCATTAACTCCATTAATTTGATGTACGAGTCCAGAACGCAAATTCCATTATTTCCTTTCTCAATGTGTTTTACTATGAAAATATCATTAAAGGAAATAATATACTCCACTATTGATGCGCAACTGGAAATTAGGGTTTATTGTAGTATAAGTAAATAAGTGTCACGGACCTTATACCATTGATTGGTATTGAAAGTATGCCCTGCGTATGCTGCACGCATGCTGTTTATACATGCCCCCGTTGCTTTTGCGATATACTCTGTATTGCGGCCAGCCGGGAAGGCAGTAAGACACCATAGTGTTTCATAATTTTCCCTTAGTTTTGCCTAGGAAAGCTTGGGGACGGATCGAAAGTTAACAAAGCAGCATAATGAGGGTAAGCAATCTAATATATTGGCATAAAACGCGATTTCTTTGTTACCGCGTGCGTTCGTTGCGCGCTTTTCAAGTTTCGCGTTTTTAATAAAGTCAGGGGCGGATCTAGGGGGAGGGGGTACTTTTGACTGGCAGAGAGGATACTTTTGACGGGGGGTCGGAGAGGGGGTTGCTAAGCAAGTTAATATTTTTTATATGTGTTCTGTTTACGAAAAAAATTATACCTAAAAAATTGCTTTTTCGCCTAATATAGTGATGCAGTTTAAAACATTTGATTGATTGTTAAACAGGGAGAGAATTTCCACGTTTAATTCACTGCTCCTCGAGTTTCATTCGTAGCAGAAACATGCGCCATGAATAAGTATTCACAATGACAACATGATCCATTTTACTTGTTGTGTACATGTTGTAGAGATCGTATTACACAAGGCCATGCTACATTGTCGTGTTCTTGTAGTATTAAATAGGTATAAACAGTGTTATTAAGTAGCGATCTGATTAATATATAAAGTCTACATGTCACAAGAAGCATAAACAAAGTATAAACACACTGAAACTGCCTGTATTAAGCCGCAGTATTTATATAAATTGACGGAAATATTATGTAAATTTCGTCTCGTATTATTATACGTCTTATATGTGTACCCGCCGATATTATAGCATGCATGTGAGTACAGACGCACAATCCACCACAGTATACAACAGTTATAATGCTATATCTAGTTAAAATAGAATATATATATATATATATATATCTTAAGTTAAGGCTGTACAAAAGATTTTTGTCTTCTCTCGAACGTACTTCAGGATGTAAGGTTCCGCACCAAAATTTCGTGCGAGGAAGGCTGCTTATGTTATTCACAACGCTCAATAAATCTTTAATAGAAAACTTCTGTACACCGTTATCGCTTGTTTAAATCAGCTTCAATATCTTTGACATTTTGTCAATCGTTATTCTCTAAAGCAGCCTTTACAGTTTCACTTTCGTAAATGCTAACAGACATGGCTGGTATTAGTTCAGAATTTCTGATAGTAAATCTTCCCATTGAACTTTAATAATTTAAGGTCAACAACGTAGCGATTAGAAAGGGCCAGAAACGTCATAGACCTTTCCGTGCACTAATGAAGCCTGAACGGTATATGATTGATCAAAAAAATCCAGCCAATGGGAATTCAGGATTGTTTTGAATTAGCCAATCGGATAGCCGGTATGCGAGCCCCTGATCGCTTTAGCGATCAGAACTCCCCAAAGATCGCGCAAAAATCGAGATAGCCAATCAGATCGCTGGAATCGGACTCAGAGCGTGCAAAACTCATGCGTAAGACCGCTTTTCTGCGCGTTCATGTTGGAAGGGCCTTGCTACTGAATGATATTTCAAAACTGGACTGTTAAACTTTCAATACATTACACTGTGCGAAGTTTGATAACTGGACTGCTATTTTAATTTAACAATTTTCCATTTTTCTGGCGAATTTTTACCTTAGTCGCATGATCGCTCTGATCACCCCTAGATCGGCCCCTGCTATAAAAAAACTGTAAAAAAATCTGAAAAAGAAGTCTAAATTTTTGCCATAGAGGGATATTGTGGAGCAATTAAGGACTCATGGGAGTAAACGCACTTCAATATAGCTAATATTCAAAATGGCGCTTGTCGTTCTTTCAACATGGCTGTCGGTTTAAAACATTTACACAGAACTAGAAATACCATATAAACGCTGAAAAGGTAAAGAAATAGTATTTTAACAATCAGAAGGTGAGTTAAATAATATATTTTGTTTGAATTAGATGATGAATTTTACATATCAGAGTGAAATCGTGTTGTTGTTCGAAGTCTATATCAAGTGTTGAGCTACACATATATGCTGTCTACATGTTATTTTGATGTATTGTGATTTTTTTTGCTAATTAGAACGTACAATGGAAAGTCTAAATAATTAATTTTAGTGTCACTTCGCATGAGGCTTAATTTTGTCATTTGTCAGAAATCTCTAATGTCGGCCATTTTTACATCTGAAAAAAGTACTTTTCCCCACTCAAACTTTGGGCAACCCTTCTATTCCATATTCTTGACATCATAATCTGTCATTGTGCCAAGTATGGGCTTGTCAAGATTTCAAGGATTTGCCTAAAATTGGCATCTTAACAGGGCTACTAATGCTCATTTTCTGAGTCGCCTTTTTCATATAAATCAGACTTGCACATGAAAATTGCCAAAATTCAGTACTTCCTTCATTTTTTAGGCAATTTTACATTCTATTAACAAAAACTAGAAACAAAAGCACATCTTCTGACCTAATCACATTTCATTGGCACAACCTGTATATATGAGAAAATTAAGGTGAAAAACAAGCAATTTTAGCAAAATACCTCACATACTGAAATTTGACGATGATCGTTGGCACACAGTATCACTCAAAAACGAAATATTTATACTTTGTCCAGGACAACAAACGCATGTACTACAAATTTCAAGTAATATTCCATCAATATTAAGTTCATACTTGAGGTTATTTGCCGTAGAAAACACACATTTTGCAAGAAACGTCATTTTCGGCCATGTTTCAGCGAAGAATTCTTGACTGCTAATTTCATGTTTGCAACAAGTACTTGTATTCTTGATTAACATGTATTAACGTTTACGTCTGCTAGCTTTCCTTTGTTTTCCCTCTGCTGCAGTACGAGAAACAGGGTAGCGAAATCTGTGTTTTTGTTGTTTTCACAATTTTTGCTGGCAAAAAGAAAGCGGCCGCGATAAATTTGGTCAGCGACGACAATTTTCCATCTGTTATACAGTATATAATAATTATGAGTAGACAATCGATATCATTAAAAAAGCATGCACAGTCACTCACGAAAATGCTTTAGGATGTCACTTTGGGCAATCTTCTAGGATATAGCGAAAAGTTTTTTTAAAATTTTATCGGAGAATTTTGACTTATATACACAGCCAGAGCAAAACAGATAGTGTGTTTTCACATGACATCACAGCAGAAATTAATTTTATATGCCGCCATGTTGGTGGAGTGAAGTTCCAACATGGCGGCCGGCGATTCAGAACAAAACATAAACAGCGAGGCAGAAAAAGTAATTTTTCATGAGATTCTTTTGTCTGAATATGCAAAATCTCTCTAAGACAGCAACAGTCAAATTATTCAGATTGTGGTGTACTTGCAATCGCTTTTGCGACAAGTCTTGTTTACACATTGGATTGGTGGATCCAAATATCCCACATATGTATTAATACAGATTGGAACTTACTTATATGCTTGATTGAAAGCTAGTCTCATTACTCTTATTCTGACTGCTGAGAGCACAATATAAAAAAGCTTACACCAATATTCAGTTTGCATTTTTATTGAACTAACTGTTAACATTATTAATATTTAACATAAAACTCAATCAAAGATACAAATTGAAAATTATTACAGACTTAAGACTTTGATAAACGTTAAACATTTTTGGTGGTCAAGACTGAGAACTGCCACATGGTTGACCACTGGTCAACAGCATGTTGTGTAAACAGGGGCAGATTAGCACACCAGGACCCCTATATATTGTTTAACTGGACAACATTTTATTTTGCATATTATTCGTACAATGTCATATATTGGTCTGTTAAAGTGTTAATCTACCCCTGTGCGATTGCAAACTTTTGCACAACCTGCTGGCTAATCTCAGCACTTTACACAAAATATGGCTTAATGGGGGGGGGGGGGTGTAGGCAAATGTCCATACTTTGATTTGCCACCATCTAAAGGCCTGGTGTCAAATTTGAGTAAAGATTTTGTCTATGGGACCCTAAAGTAGTTTATTGCCCTGGCCTACCCCAAATGGGTGGCCCAATCAGTTACTTAACCCCACCAATAATAAAGTCCTAACAGACATGGTTTTTATATTTAAATATTGGTTGTCTTTGATCCAAAGTCCTTTAAAACAATATATTTTCACAGGAATGAATGTAAACAAAGCTATATTTCGCGAAATATTATGAAAAACGTAAACGCATATAAAATTTCGCACTTCTCAAGTTGTATGGTTTTGTGTCACGACTTTATTTCGCCAGATATGTCGAGTGTTTAGTTTGATGCATCCACTTGCATCCACTATTATTATAGCTCAGTGTATGCATCACTACATCACGTTGGGGCTGGCAGTGCATCACTACATCACGTTGGTGACAAAAGTGCATCAGTGGCGCATCTGTCCCGAGTCTTTTGGCCAAGTTTTCCCAACGACATGTATGGTTTTTTAATAACGGTTCTTACTCTATTTAATGTCATATTCTTAAGCAATAATTAATAAACAATATAATGCTATACCAAATACTTATCTAGTCCTTTTACTTTAAGATAACCAGATCATAATCCATACACATAGTTTCTATAGATCAAGTACCTTCCTAGGAATTTGTCTCCTTGTTGACCTTCGTAGTGGCGGTGGTTGTTCATTTTCAGTTTCAGGTATAATAGTAGGAATTTCAACAGGACCGTTTTGGATATCTTTATTACTGGAATTTTCTTGCGGTGGTGATTTTGATACTTCGGCAGGAGGGGTTTGACACTCAGATGTGGTAGGAAGATTTACCTTTGAGAATGATACCGGGATTTGAGACTCTTCAGTGTATGCTTCAACATGTGGAGGGTTGATTTCTTGAAAGGTTAATTTCTTGACAAATGATGAATTTCTCGTTACGGAGGCGTCTGCATTCTTGGCGGTGATCATACTCCCCTTTGTTTTAACAACTGTCATTGGGTTAGGATTATAAACTGTTGATCCTTTACTCATGGTGAATGGTCGCTTTACTAATACTGAATCACCAAGGTTGATATCGGAAGGTTTTACATAACACTTCTTGTCGGCATATGCTTTGATCTTCATTTTCTGTGACGAATCACGCTTTCGAATTATTTCGGAAACAGGGTTAACGTTGTTGGCTTGAGGAATCTTGTTCCGGACAGCACGTTTCATCAATAACACACTAGGAGCTACGCCAGTGGTGGTATGAGGAGTCATTCGGTAGTTGCGTAGAAATACTTGTAACTCTTTCCTCCAGTTCTTTCCTTCAGTCTTCGCAGCTTTGATGTATTTCTTTAAGGTCTTATCAAACCTTTCAACCTCGCCATTGGCTCTAGGCCAAAGTGGTGTAACTTTGCGATGTTTAAAACCAAGCACTTGAGAAAATTTGACAAATTCATCACCATTGAATGGTGATCCATTGGTGGAACACTACCAGGGGTGTTCCAAACGTGGCAAATAACTTATCTAACTTCGGTATGACGGCACTCGCCAAGGTGGATGACACTGGTTCAACAAACGGGAATCTTGAATAATCATCAACCAGCAAAAGAAGAGTTCCCCCATTCACCGACGCGAAGTCAACACTTACTTCGTCAAATGGGTTGTCCGGCAAGACACATCTGGAGTGGTTCTCTGGTGTAAATCGGTGTCACAATTTGGCATGGTAAACAGGCTTTAACCATACTTTCCGTCATTCGGTCCATGCATGGGAACCACACTTTCTCTCTGAGGCGGGCTTTGGTCTTCACTATACCCATGTGCCCTTCATGGGCGATGTTGACTATTTGTCCTTGTAACGATGCAGGTACAACACGATACGATCTGCCTTTAGGAGCAAAGATTCGGTACAAGTCAACTGTTCTTTAACTTTCTCATAACGGGATAAGTTATGGGTGGAGCTTTATGCCAACAACCAGACATAACAGCTTGAAGGGTAGGATCATTTGCAACTGCTGACTCTATCTCAGATAATGTGACAGCTTTCGGCACAGCATTCTTTGCAACAAAAGCAATGTGTTCTTCAGCTTCGTCTTCATACTTCTGAGATTCCGGATCTCCCATTGGGTGTCTTGAGGAATAGTCAGCTGGATTGGAAACACCAGGACGATATTCTACTGTAAAACGATATTGCTGTAGATCCAATAGCCAATGCTCAATTCTGGCTGAGGATTTGGATGATGGATTGTTAAATAAGGTAACAAGAGGCTTGTGGTCCGTGATGACTTTCAAGTCAGTACCATATACAAACAGGTGGAATCGTTTGATTGCCCAAAAGATTGACAGAGCTTCTCGGTCTATCTGGGCATACCTTGCTTGGGTTGGAGTAAGTGGACAATTTGCATAATGTAGTGGTGTTACTTCCTTTGTTGATGGATTTTCGTGGGTCAGGACAGCACCAAGACCAACTGGACTACGATTGACGAATATAGATGTTGGTTTCTCTGGATTAAACTAACCCAAGGTGGTCTTCGTTGACAAGGCTGCTTTAGGAGACTCGAACGATGATTGTTCCTCTTTTGTCCACTGCCATTTCACTCCTGTGCATGTGAGCTGACAAAGAGGTCTAGTAATTACTGCGAAATCTTTGATGAATCTTGAACAGAATGCAGCAGAGCTTAGAAGACTTCGTACTTCTGATACGTTCGTTGGTGGAATGATGCGTTGAAGACTTTCAACTTTTTTAGGATCAGGTGACATTCCTTTTTCTGAGAACATGTGACCAAAGAAGAGCATGGTGGGAACTCGAAACTGATATTTTGGAAGATTAATGGTCAACTCATTGTCCTGAAGCTGCCGAAACAACTGTTTTAGACGTCGATCATGGTCGTCATTATCGATGCCACCAATATAAATATCACTGATATTCTTCACACACGGTATACCACAGATTGCATCACTAATTTTCTTCTGAAATATTTCAGCTGCACAAGAAAGTCCAAAATTAAGACGTTTATATCTGAACAATCCTATGTGGGTTGAGAAGGTTGTTAATGGTTTAGAATCAGGATGAAGTGGAATCTGATGTTAGCCTTGATTTAAATCTATTTTGCTGAAAACCTTACAGCCATTAAGATCATGTACTACATCATCAATGGTGGGGATGATATATTGCTCTCAGATAATAGCTTTATTTAGTGCTCGCATATCAACACAAATACGTATCTCATTGGGTTTATGAGGCTTCGGTACAACTACTATCGGTGAAACCCACGGTGTGGGGCCTTCTGCACGTTCTACTATGCCTTCATCTTCGAGTTGCTCTAGCTTTTTCTCCACTTGTTTTCTAACATGAAACGGAATGCGGCGATGTGGTAATGCTATTGGTTTAACAGTTTCATCTACATGTATACGTACTGGTTCCCCTTTGTAATGACCCATCCCACTGGTAAGGTTGGGAAAATCCCTGATAAATTCAGGTGCATTGGGGTGGTAAACTTGGATCTGGTTGATTAATAACACCGACTGCTTTGATTAGATTTAGTTTTTGGGACGTTGACCAGCTGAGAATAGAATTTGACGAACCCTTCGCCACATAAAATGCTCCCTCTGATGAGCCCAGTTTACTTGAAACTTTTGCTTCAAACTTGTCATACAGATTTAATGGCTTTTCACTCATGTAGGGGTACACTTTGGTTTTGGTTTCCGATATTTGGGGTTTTGGTACAAGACAATTCAAGTCGATTGAATTCAAATCTGCTATTATTCTAATTGGAGTGTTCCCAATCTGTACTTCAAAGATAGGTTTACTAAGTTGGTTTACCTTGCACCAGTGGTAAATGTATATTCTTCGCTGTTATCACTGTCAGATTTCTCAACACTACTACTTATTTCACTAGAATGGTTTTCTGCTGTTATAGTTTTAGCACGCTCTTTACCCACTGGTGGTTTAAATTGATTGTTAGATTTACTACGACAAACCTTAGAGAAATGATTCAATTTTCTACACTTGTGACAACTTTTCCCTTGGGCAGGACATTTACCCCGATGTGGATAATTACCACCACACAGTCCACACTTCGTCTTGTGAGGCACTCTCCTTTGGTTAGGATCTTTCTTATATTTAGTAAACTTAGTACGATTATATTTACCGACTGCATTTGAATGCTGTTTTTCCATTTCACTAGTGTGCTCATTAGCAGTTTCTGTGGCTCGTGCAGTTTCGAGCACATTGTTCAATTGATTTTCGTCTCAGTCTAAGTGATGAAGTGCCTTGAATAATTTGACATTTTATTTCCAAATCAGAGTTGGAAAATTCACACTTTCATGCAAGCAATTGTAAACGAGTATTAAATTCAGTAATGTTCTCACCTGATTTCTGCATTTGTTGTCGAAATACATAAACGTGATGATCAATGCATTTCTGTGGCTCAAAATATTCTGCAAGGGCTTTGACACAAATCTTGAAGACATCACTTCCTTCGGTTAGCTTGGGTACATTGAGCGTTTCGAGAATGTCACAGGTTTCTTCTCCAACGTAATGCAATAACATGGCTTTCTGCTGACAATCTTTGGTGATATTCATAGCTTCAAACATGTTCTTTAATCTCTTGATATACTTTTCAAATCGTGTTGGAGCGGTTTCTCTCGGGTGCAACTCAAACTCTGGAAAGTTTGGTAGGTTTACTGATGTCGCCATTGATAAACTTTGAGTCTTATTTATAAACCTAAAGTTTTACATCCTCGTCGCCATTTGCGAGGTTTTCGATCATAATATAAACTTTTAATCATGTATACATACAGGAATCTATACAACTGCCTGGATATCATATTTACACGTTCTTTTATACCCAGCAGTGCATTGCGGGGGTTTGCTACTAATTATACATGCAAATAGATTATATACATAAATTAGCTTATAAACATTACACAGTGTTGCCTCGCATATATAGTGTTGCCTTGTTCTTTCGAAAACATGTATATATTAATAAAACCTACAAAGCCAACGATAAACGCGTTACGGCTAATTGCACATCAATATAGTATTGCCTCATTCTTTCAAAAACATGTTTCATACATACTAAACTGCAGTAACAAACGTGTGTAACAAACGTGTTAAATCGGTTAACGAATTATTATAAAATCTTGAACAACGTCATGGGACATACTCAACAATATTAAGTCATGCAATAGGAAAGAACAATTATTTGAGGACTTAATTAAAACTGGGCTGGATATAATAATGCCACTAAAGAAAACAAAACTACACACCAACAATCAACCTTGGATAACACCTGAATTTATTACCCTGATTAAACACAGACAGGAAGCTTTTTCTCAGAAAAAAATGACAGAATTTCGTCACTACAGAAACCTTGTAAACCGAGAGAGAAAGCGTTTACATGACAACTACTTTTCCACAAAAGTAATCCATCTAAAGGGTACCAAACCGTCTGTTTGGTGGCGTGAACTGAAGCGTATTTCAGGTATGCAGCCCAACAGTAACAACGAAAACATTTTTACGCAGCTAAAATTTAATGAACATGATTATAAAGGTAACCCAGAGGAAATTGCAAATAGAATAAACGAGGCCTTCTTACAACCCATGTGTGAATATGAACCTCTGTCTAGCAACCCATTCAACAGAACTAAATACATGCAACCTACTTAGGAGAATTAATCCTGAAAAAGCTAGCGGGCCTGATGGTATCCCAAACTGGTTGTGTTTAAAAACGTATGCCGAGATACTCGCAAAACCAGTCTGTAATATTATCAATTCTTCCTTTGATGAACAGAGATTACTGTCAATGTGGAAACATGCTGACATCATCCCAGTCCCGAAGGTAAAACCAGCCACTGATGTGAACAAACATTTGCGACCGATCTCCTTGACACCATCAATCTCCAAAGTTGCAGAAGAACTTGTGATCACAAAGTACATAGCGCTTGCTATATTGAATGCATTAGATCCGGATCAGTACGGGGCCATACCAAAGTCCTCTTCATTGCTTGCCCTAATCTCAATGATCCATGAATGGTCCCAAGCTACAGACAAATCTGGCACAACTGTCAGAGTAACTTTATTTGATTATAGAAGGGCATTTGACCTAGTTGACCATTCCATTCTAATTTAAAAACTTCAAAACCTGATGTCATTCCCCCGAAAGGTGTGCTCCTGGATAACCAACTTTTTATCCAACAGATAGCAAAGAGTGAAGCTTGCCGACGCCCTTTCGTCATGGAGACACGTCCCCTTAGGAGTACCCCAAGGCACCAAGTTAGGCCCCTGGCTATTTCTTCTAATGGTGAATGACCTACGTGTGAACAGCATCAGTACGTGGAAGTTTGTTGACAACACGACAATTTCGGAAATCATTCCAAAGAATTCCCTCAACCACACTCAATCCGCTGCCACGTCTGTTGAGAGATGGTCAGCAGACAACAAACTGCACTTGAACGCAGAATGCTTAATCCAGTATGGATAACACCAGAGTCAGAATTTTTTTCTGTTTTATTGGTTACGATATGATCAATGAGACTAGAGGTTGTCATTGCTACTCGGGTAGCTTCATCAATCAATTGTGACAATTGATATAACTTATACAATGTTTTGATTTTCTTTGTTGGAACACTCGAATATTCGTCTGTTTTAAGCATATCACAGTTTAGATCACCCAGAATATACATTTCTTTATTTTCATCATCAATAGCTTTGATTAATTTTTCAAAATGATCAAAGAATTCAGATGGTGCATTGGGTGGTCTATAAACTGTTGTAACAAGAAATGGTCTGCTATGCAGCTTAGTGGTTTCTATACAAACAGCCTCTAGTTCCGAGGAAATTAGATCTTGTCTTATAATGTAGTTGATAGAGCTACGCAAGTAGATACAAACTCCACCCCCATTTCTTGACCTGTCTTTTCTAATAATATCATAATCGTTCAGGTGAATCATACTATTAGTTACACTTGGATCGAGGCGTGTTTCATTGAAAGCAATAAGATCAATGAATTTGTTTGACATTGAATACCTTATTTCATCAATTTTTTTGGGCAGACTAACGATGTTAAGAAAAGCCATTTTAAAACCTTTTTCGTTTGGAATGGAATTTAGGCTAGTGAAAAAGTCGCTACTCGCATTGTGTGAGGAACTATGACTACTTAATTATTTAATGCGTGATTGACAGACTGTAGATACATTGTCCATTCTCTGTTCCGATGTCCATAGGCTTGGCGAAAAAACTGCTTATTACCTACTGGTTTGTATATTACCAGTAGGTCTTACCCTACTGATTTTAAATATGTGCAGTAAGCACTACCTAGCACTCTATCACCGAGTTGGTTCAAGTGCAAGTTAGAGCAATTTAGGAATGACCTATCTATGTGGTCATTATTAAAAAATGTAATGTTACGATTTGAGCATAAATTGTTAACTAAGTTGTTAAAATGTGTTATATTGCTAGCTGGAACTCGATTATCATACCTCTTTATCACACTTGAGACTGCAATCTCCTTGGTGTGGTCTTTCAGGTTTTCGATAAGCTCGTCCATTTTGGCAGCCACTTTTTCGGGATCTTCGGAAACGAGGTTATTTGTTCCCACATGAAGAACAACTGTGTCGTACTGCTCACCTTCTGACCAATATTATTTTATTTTGCTGCTGATTTGTTCCACTCTTGCACCACTGTAAGAGTGGACGACTAACTGGCAGCCTGCAGCCCGTTCAATGATGATCCCTGTTTAGGCTGTTCACATTGTGTGGGGGGAGGGAGGTTGTGTCTTAATTTGGTTGAAAATGCAAATTGAATCTAGATGCTTAATAATATTTTGAAGTTCTCCCTGAGATTCTTACAGTCTAAGGGACTCTGTCTAGGATCCTGCAACCCTTGCTAACAGCTATATTCCTGGGACCTGCCGGTTACTTGTTAGGTACTGTTTCCCTAAAACACTGCTATCTGTACGATTACACACCATGCCTTGGTTGATGCTCACACACAACATCAATACCAGCACCTAATTAGATCCCTCCCAAATCCATCCCTGTATTTGCATCATTTTGGAATTGGGAAGCTCTTGCAGCTTCAAACAATATTTTAAAGGGCAATGTTTGGTGATAGTCAGATTAGTTCAGTTATATATTATCTCTATTGTTCCAAAATGATCACCTGGTACCAGAATCCATCAATCACACTAAATGGCATTACATGTATCAAGGTTGCCCCTGCCAAGGTGAGGGGAGTGGCACAGGGGGTGACCAGCAAAATATTGTGATGCTGAAAATAAAGGGGATTCACATGTTTAGGAAGGGAATACATTTAGCTGTGCTCTCTCAAATTCGGCCCCTTAAATTTGTGATGCTTTTTCTGGCATTGTTCATATGCCTTTAAATTATACCATTCTGATGACCATGGCTCAGCACAAGGTGTTCATTTTAAATGTACCAGTCTAATTAGCAGTTATGGGACCAAATTACTGTTCTAATCATTCTATCATTTATTTCCAATACAACAAAGGGTCATTGCATGGAATACATTAATGTATAAATTGATAAATCATCTCACTTTCATTGATAAGTCAATGTGTACTAATTGAGTTGATCACAATATACTGCACTGCCACTGTTACTGAAGCTTGTCAGTCCTGCTCATGCAATCAGATACCTACCAAGTCCATAAATGCACTACTCCCTGTCTATCCTTAATATCTTGAGACAGCAGTTTTGGATACATACAGTAGTCCTAGACACTCTCCCGAATGTATGATTTGGGATTCAATGCAAAATCTGTGGAGATATATTGGTCAATAGATATCCAGACTTCAAATAGAATAATCTATTTCCTGAAAATTGTTTTAATAATTGTTTATTTTTATTATTAACTGCTCAGCAACAATGAAAAATACAACCTTGGACAAAATAGTTTGCCAAAACTTATTTAATCTTATTCTTTCTTGTTCTGTTGTCTTATTTTCCGTTATATAGGCAGATGTCTACTTTATATCAAATCTTAGGCACGCTCGTCCCTCCCCCTATATCAATGTTGCTATTTTCGGTTAAATCTTCAAAAAAACAAGTGTATTGGCACAAACAACATTGATATTGGGGGAAGGGAAATAGAATGACATTTTTGCCACATATTTTGTCCCAGGATTGTAGTACCTAACACCCTTGAATACTTTGATAATCTTACAGTATTTAAAAATTCAAACTGCATTTGTCGAAATATTGGATATAAATGCATCCATAAATGTTAGAGTGACTAGCTCCAGAGAGGGCCTTCATATACAGTAACTCAAAGTTGCCCTGGAATTAATCCTGGATTATTAAAATAATTTAACTGGAATGTTATGTCATGGTGGTGCTGCTGGAAGGCATTTGACCTGGAACTTAAGGTCAAGGAAGGAAAAGGAAGTGATAAGTTACAGGGAGTGATATCATTGGCAATGAATATAATAGTTTGCTTGAAGTATTCTTATCTATTTTGCATAAGAAACACAGCCCTAATCAGCTTTTCATGTCATTTGCACCATCTTTTGCACAGAAAAAATGTCTGTGGTTTTGCTTTCAATTATTCTATCAGTTTTGAAAGTACAGTATGTTGTGTACATGTAAGTAGTGTACACTTGTATGTAAAATTGTGATATTTATACCACAACAAATATACCTATACGTACAGTATTTATTATAAATATCAACACACAGTCACACACAGACTGACTCGTTTAAATCCACATCTAACACAGTACACAGATCCCAAACATTCCCAGATGAAATTGCTGAAATAGCTGACAAACCTTTTAATTTTGATGGCTTTGAGGCTCAGTGAGTTTGAGTCTTTGTATCTCCAAACAGCCACCAAAGGTCGTAAAATATTCCCATACAATGCAAGATACAATGTTCCATTACTCCAGCCATTATAATTCAACCATAAAATTTATCACTGACTGTTCTGATTGCGGGCGAAATGCATCAGTCAAAAGCACATTATTTTAATCGCGGGCTAAACGCATCAGTCAGCATCCATTTCCCAACGTCGCATCCATTTCCCAATGTCCATCAGCATCCATTTTCCAATAGCTTAACGCAAAATTCAAATCGCTTATGCGAAATTCAAATCGCTTACGTGAAATTCAAATCGCTTACGCGAAATTCAAATTCTCACACAAAATTCAAATTGCTCACACGAAATTCAAATTCTCACACGAAATTCAAATTGCTCACGCGAAATTCAAATTGCTTACGCGAAATTCAAATTAGTTACGCATATTAAATTATTATGTTTTACATTCTATGAATTAACCGGCCTTACGACAATTCCCGCCAAAAACATGGCGGCTGTATTATGTTGTGCTGAATGCAACAAACAGGTTGGGTTTATTGGTAACAACTTTTGTTCGTCTTGTGGCAATCAACTTGGTACAGAGACAAACATCTTAAAGCATTATTTTTACCAAGGGTATGAGTATAATACGATACTGGATTTTATTTCCAAGTATCATGGGATTTCAATGTGTCTTCCAACATTGAAAAACCATTTTCAACAGTTAGGTCTTTGTCGAAAAATACAGATTTTAATGAGGAAGAAGTATGCGCACGAATACAAAGTGAAATAGATGGGCCTGGATGTATGGGTGGTTATAGGACAATGTGGCACACACTTCGATCAGAAGGTTATATGGTACCGAGAGGTAAAGTGCAACATTTATTGAAGGAACTAGACCCGGAAAGCTGCAAGCTTAGGCGGGCTCTGCGTTTGAGACGAAGGGCATATGTTAACCAGGGGCCTAATGTTTGCTGACATATTGATGGGTATGACAAATTAAAGCCATTCGGCTTTCCCATCCATGGTTGTATAGATGGATATGGCCGTAAAATGTTGCGGTTAAAAGTATCAAGATCAAACAATCCACATGTCATATTGAAAATGTACCTGGATAGTGTAAGAAAATATGGCGGATGCCCAATCAAAGTAAGAACTGATTATGGCACTGAAAATGGTCTAGTGGCAGCAGCGCAGTATTATTTTATGAATAACAAAGGTGCACATATTTACGGCACATCTCAGCATAACCAAAGAATAGAAGGATGGTGGTCGCTTTTCAGGCGTAACAGAGCACCATGGTGGATTAATTTTTTCAAGGACCTTAGCGACCAAGGTTCCCCTTACTACCGGAAATGATCTAAAAATGGAGTGCTTGTGGTTCTGCTTTTGTAAACTCATTCAGCAAGACTTGGACTACATTCAACATCGTTGGAACACGCACTACATACGCAGATCAAGACACGATACAATTCCTGGCTGACCCAATGAATTATTTTATCTTCCAGAGTCCAGGCAAGCACACGACTTTCTACAACCTGTTGATGAACATCAGTTACAACATCTTAACGAAGAATATGCAGAAACAGAAGTAGAAATTAACAAGTATGAAGAGTATTTTAACTATTTAATGACTGAATGCAGTTTAACAATCCCTAATAATTGGAGGGAAAGTTTGCATTTATATAATGAACTAAGACATTATGGACATGGTGAGAATTAACATCCAAGAAAT